GATAAAAGAAATTTCAATGAGGAGAAGCCAGTGAGCATATAACACTCAACATATATCCTCATTCCTCCTAAATTAGACCAAAAAGAAAAAMAAATCTGGAGACATCTGCTTTTCCTCCAGTTGACTATGAGGTATTTTAGGAGAACTGCCTATTCCAGAATTCCATGTGCAGTTGTGGTGAGCAGAGGTGCCGGCTCTGCAGCCTTCTCAGAGCTGTTTGCACCAATAAATCAGGCACTTTGGGGCTTTCAGAGTTACATTTATACAAGAAGTGAGAGGTCATTTTGGCTTGGGGATAAGCAGTCCTATTTTCTTTATTAAGGCAGGGTGCAGGAACAAGCCTGGGGTGAGGTCTCTCCCTGAGTGAATGTCTCCTGGCAGGAAGATGGGAACATGGAACTGTCCCAGGAATGGGACAGGGCAGAGCAGTCTGACATTTCACCAAAGCAGGAGCAGTTCATATTATTGTTAAATGTGAGGTGCATTTCAAATAAAACATTCTGCTGACAGTGTCTATTTGTCTAAAGCAGCATCTCTTGTGATGTATGGAGGTTGCATATGGCAGCTTTTAAAGCATTTTATCTCTCYACTCTTGTTGTAATATTGATTAGTATTTATTTGCATGCAAGGGAAAAGAATACAAGAGAAATTCCAGCCTGTGGGTATGGATCCTGAGAGCTGTGGTCCCCTACAAACGTGTGTTGAAAGATGCCTTCATTGAATCCAGCGAGATAAAGTCTCCAGCCAGAGGCTTGAGAGCAGTGGACAACTTATGCAGTGCCAACCACGTGTCCTCCGGAGCCTCTTAGGCCCTCCCAGACGAACACACGAGCGCCCTGGTAAAGTCAGGTAGGATGATTTTTGAGAAGACAACTGAAAACTGTGGCTGCTAAAGTTCCTCGGATGACACAAAAAAAGAAAGGGTGTGTGTCTGGGAATTCATTCCTTGATGAATTCCATGGGTTTCTTTAGATTTACCCTTTAGATGTACAGACACCAAGGTTTGTCTCASTAGACCACTAGGAAAGCAGGATGGGAAGGGCTTGGAGGCTGTCAGCATTGGCTTCTGAAGGCGCCCGTCACAATGGATGTTATGAGGTACAATGCCAGGAGCAGTCTGAAAAATGCCAGATATTTAAAATCACTGGGCCATGCTGTGCCATTGCAATCTAAGGCATTTTATGATGTTACAAATGTTAAGAAGAGGCAGTACTATGCAGTGATGTGGAACTGTATTGTAAATTATGCCTGCAAAGTAGCCTTCCAAGAAAATAGTAACAGTAGAGGGATGGAAATCAGTTGTCCTTCCCCACTTAAAATGACTGTGATGAGGCTTAGTAGAAACTTTGATAACAATCTTGACCAAATCTTCACTTAATCTTCAATTGCTGTGGACAGAGTGACAGCAATTTGCACAATCTGAACATTTTTTTTCTTCTGTTACATGATAGTAATGTAAAACTATTTCAGGTTATGTGCCCTTGTGGCCAAGAAGGCCAATGGGATCCTGGCTGCATCAGGAGGAGTGTTGCCAGCAGGTCGAGGGAGGGGATCCTGCCCCTCTCCTCAGCTCTGGTGAGGCCGCACCTGGAGTACTGTGTGCAGTYCTGGGCTCCCCAGTGTAAGAGGRATGTGGAGCTTCTCGAGAGGGTCCAGAGAAGGGCAACCAGGATGATTAAGGGCATGGAACATCTCTTGTATGAGGAGAGACTGAGTGAGCTGGGCCTGCTTAGCCTGGAGAAGATAAGGTTGTGAGGGTATCTGATCAATATGTATAAGTACATGAAGGAGGAATGTAGGGAGGAAGGGGCCTGATTCTTCTCAGTGGTGGCCAGCAATGGGACAAAGGGCAACAGGTGAAAGTTGGAACACAGGCAGTTCCATCTCCATGTGAGGAAGAACTTCTTAATTATGAGGGTAACAGAGCCCTGGTACAGGCTTCCCCAGGAGGTTGTGGTGTCACCTTCTCTGGAGATCTTCCAAACCCACCTGGATGCTGCCCTGTGCCACATGCTCTGGGTGTCCCTGATGGAGCAGGGGGGTTGGACTAAATGATCTCTAGAGGTCCCTTCCAACCTCAACCATTCTGTGCATCTGTGAAATCCATCCTTCTACTGTCTACACAAATTTACTCTTGGAAATATGTCCTTGTAGCCTGTTTTTCTAATAGCACTCATGAGACAAAAAGGCACATCTTCAAACCGTGGATTCCCATGTAAGGGGCTGCTGTCCGAGTCCTCGTGTGTTTGGTTTTTCTATTCTTTAGGTTGCACTGCCCTCTAGGGCCTCGAGTATCCTCACACGTGTGTCAGCGCCCATGTCCACAGGATAAAAATCTTCCTTGCACTTCTGCTTCCATGACTGAAGAGTTTTCCTAGGCATTTTTTTTTCCCCTTACAATTCTTGCCTGGGGAGTCCTAGAGGTATTTTTATATTTTTCAGAGATTTAAGGATGGATAATAGTCTGCCGGTAGTGAAAGGCAGGAAGCTGCTGTGCTGTGTTGGAGATGTCAGGAGCTCCGGGAGCACCTGATGCTCACAGCCCACTGAAGTGGCCAGAAAACCCATCAGCTTCAACACATTTCTTAACAAAATGTTAACCTGCTGCTCACACTGCCTATATTCATGATACACATGCTTATATTACTTAACTCTCTGCATCCGTGTTGGGCTCCTGGGGCATACTGCAGGCATATACATAGTGTGCATAACTGATGTTTACTGGAAATATTCATTCTACACACACCAGACATAAAGCACCAGACGTATAATCTGTGCACTGTGTTCCCAGCCTCCTGCTCACTTGTTCCTTCAAATAACAAATGAAATGAGCAGTAACTCTGTTGYGGAGGGCAGAATTCATGCCACGAAGCATAAACTCCCTGCATCTAAAGTAGGAAGACCTCCCGTGCAGAGATTTTCAGGATTCTCCCTCTGCTTATCAGTTTGTTGAAGCACCAACAGCAAAGTATGGATTTGAAAAGCCTTGCCTGAAAAAACAAGCCTGCTTAGCGTGCAGCTAGCTCTGTGTAGCACGCTCTTCCTCTCACTGGCCTGAAGAAGTCAGAAGAGAAAATGGTAATGGGCTTTTCCACAGAAGGGAAGTGCCTGGCTGTGCACAGGGCACCTTTGGGCTGCACGCAGGTCTGAGCTGATGGGAATTAGTTGTGCAGAGCACAGAATAGCGAGGTGGCCTCCAGTCTGGGAAAGCCCTCATATCGTAGAGAGAACAGCTTCCTAACAAGAAGCTCACTAACACAAGAAAGAAAATCCAAAAAGTGATTTTTGGTTCTGCTGTTTTGGTTCTGCTATTTCTCCCTCTAAAATTCAGGGAGCTACTCAAAAAATGGATGATGATCCATACAGACCCAGGAGCTTCAGGGGAAAACAGGGGCTCACACCAGGAGAGCAATCTGACACAGATCTCTAAGTAGGAAGGATTTCCCCCCCACCCCTGCCTTCAAACAGAATAACATTTAAGCACTGCAAGGAAAATACAGAAACAACTCAATCCTACAAGTGCCAGAAGAGCCCTGGTTTCCCAGTGGTTGTTGGACCAGTGGGATCTAGTTAAAAYAAACCACAGTACAAAGAAAAGCCTTTGCCATCATGGCTGAAGGCAAATGGTGTTCTCACGTTCTAATAGAATGATGTTCTATTTCCATAGCCACAGAGGAACAGCTAAAACAAACTCCCAACTCCTAAAGAACCATTTTCAAGAAACTGCTAGTTTCTACCCGAGATTTCACACAGTAATTTAAAGGTGTCAGTCAAGCTTTATGACTTTTCAAAGAACTTGAAGCCCTGAATGGAATTTCCTGTGGCAGATCTTCTTACTATTTCTTAGAAAAGATCAGTGATGGTTCAGTGAAGTGTACATATTGCTTCAGTATCCTTTCACAGTTGATACTGCAAATAATAGAGCAGAAACGGTGACAGAAACAGAGAACATTGACATGATTTTTGAAAGAACATAGGTCAGGTGACCTGGAAAAAGAATACAGCGTGCCTTGGCTATCAGGGTTTTTTGGGGGGAAAAAAAAAAAAGGGGGGGGGGGGAAACAGAGTGGACTAGGAAAATCATTGTAACACCTGAGCAAAGATCTTCCTAGTCCCCTCTGTTTTTACTCCATATGAATGTAGTGCTTCATACAGCCTGATATGCGGATTTAAAAAAAAAAAAAAAAAAAAGTTTATTTATTCTCCTTCTTCATTAAATATCTGCTTTTCTTCTGAGCACATTTGACAAACGAAATAGTTGTATTTGCTTTCCGGGTGAGATGTTCTTAACATTGCTTGCATTAGTAAGATGTACATTTTTCCAGTTCCTTGGTCAGCCCAGGGTCACCAGGAGCATTTGACATGCTGACAAGTTTATACCGTTATTGCTACACGCTGAAGGCCACGCAAAAGCACAGCGCAGATAAGTGAGACCTTGACTACACCTGCCCAGCTCCAACTGATTAGATGGTTCTGGTAAACGCTGGGAAAACAAACCAAGCACTGACAGCTGCTACGGGACAGGCTGACCCAAAGGTCTGGGCAACATCCTCCCTGCTTTCACATACACCTCTAAGTATGTTTAAGACTCAAAGAATATGAGCAGCTGCACTCCCGGCCCATTTACACACTTGTGACTCCCTCGGGGAGCTAACCCACAAGGTGACAGACACACAGGTGACCACTGCTAATTGCTTCTGCTATGGAAGGGAATCACAAAGATTGGCCTGGGGTGACACGGCCAACAAAGCCCCCGGAGGCTGACAATGACCAGGAAGACGAGCAAACCGCACTGAGAGCAGCCCTCACACAACAGGGCACACAACGCAGCATGGCGGCGGGGCCCGAGGCCTCCCGGCAGGGCTCAGACACACCAGCGAGGCTGCCAGCCCCTCCTGCCATAAAACCATCTCTGAGGGGAACGGCAGCGCCACATGACGCCTTAGACCCGCCCCAACCGCCGCCCCAACGGCCGCCGCTGCCCCGCCCCCGGAAGTGACGCGCGGCGCCGCCCCCGGAAGCGCCGGAGAGGCATAAACAAGGCCGTGGGAGGCGGCGGCGGCGCGTCCATCTTGGCGGAGCCGCAGCCCGTTCTGCCCGCGCCATGGGCGGCGTCCTGGGCCTCTGCTCCGTGGCGAGCTGGGTGCGTAGCGCGGGCGGCGGCGGCTCCCTCCCTTCCCCTGCCCTGCCCTCCGCTGGCGCCGGGCCCTGCGGCGGCGCCCCCGCGCCTTTGTCCTCGGCGGGGCCCGCGCCGCGGCCTCCCCCGCTCCTCAGGGGAGCTCCTTGGCCTCCCGCGCTGGGCAGGGGGAACCGGGATGCGCCCCTCGCTCAAATAGCCCCCCTGCGGGGATCCGCGGGGCGGCGCCTCCTTGACTGTCACCTGGGGTGGGGGTGGAGGGGAAGGGGGCGTTGCGGAGCCCGTTGTTTTCATGCTTATTTCTTTATAGCCTGTCAAATATGGAAGGGGGGGGATAAAAAACATTACCGAAAGTCTACATAGCGTGAATTTTGTTTCAGGAAAAAAAAAAAAAGGAAAAAAATATTTTTTTTCCCCGCTGCGTCGATCGCAGTATCGGATTCCTGCCCTCGCGGGTCTCCGAGCGGCTCCGCCCTTTGAAGCATCTTTGTCTCGCCGAGACGGCAGCCGCCGTTTGCTCTGCGGTGATGTCACCCGCTCCGTGAGCGCCCGCGCGTTTCCGAACGCTCAAACGTGGTGGTTCCGAATGGTTCTTGCAGCCATTAACGCTGTGTAGAGAAAAACAAAAGAAAAACCCTTAAGTTGTTAGGGGTGGTGCGCAGAGGGTCTTCCTCACTGAGGTGGTGTTATGTTATCATCCTTGAGTTATCAGATGTCTTTGCAGATCTGCTCACTATGCAAATAGATGCAGTTGTGTGGGTTATGACTCAGGCATCCAGGGTGAAAATGCTAGTAGGGTTTAGAAACCTAAAGCTTTCCAAGTCAAAAKCATAGCATTGTTCTTGGTTTAAATGGATTATTTATATATGTGTAACCAGGAACCCATACAGCAAACTTAGCGGTCTCATAAAATCTTTCATTGATTCATATTCCTATTTTTGGGGCTGTAATGGAACAAAACGTGTGATCTTTGGATTTCTTAGTAGAAGATGCTTAACCAGACAGATGCTATTTAATTTTCCAGTTGCTTCTCTAAATTCGACAGCATGATGATAGAATTGGTAAATTAGGCGCTAGGTAAAAGCCAAGCTTCCAAGCTGATAAGTCTCTAAATAAGATCCTAAAACACTAATTACCTAAGGAAACACTGTCTGTGTTTACCTCTCTTTAATTAACGTTTCAAACACCACTTAATGAGTTAGGCAGATAGGTTTTAAATTAGTAGCGGAATGCAGTTAACTTCAAAATTTTCAATTACTGTGAAATACTCCGTGACAGTGTAACTATATGGTTTCATTAAAATACTTGCCYTCATATAGATTGAACATCCAAGCACATAAACAGGCCTTCTAGGAACTGACTGGGGCTTGGGGTGTATACCTGCCCTTGGTCTTGAATATTCATTTTTGTACAGAGAAGTATGTTCAGGTTCAGCAAACTGTTTTAAATAAATTAATTTACACTAGTGTGTGATCCTGATTAAATTGGATTTGCTTTCTTTAACTTAGAGTGTCTTTTTTTTTTTTGCTTTTGTATTGTCTTGTTTTACCTGATGGCTTAAAAGTGTTGATCTTACTTTTCCTGATTAAATTTGCAGCTAACAAATGCTTTGAAGCCTCTGGTAGTCCTTATAGTAGGAAGCCTCCCGCATCTCTGCCCTGTAAGGATGTGTTGGTACAAAGGCAGTTCCTGACTTGGGGCAGGAAACAAGCTGGAAGGGCTGTGGCGGGAGAGCCTCCGGTAGTGGAGCAGGAGGGTGTCCCTGCTTAGGAACCTGCCGTGCGGGGTCCTGCAGAGTGCCYGGCACTGTGCCGCACAGAGCGCTCACAAGCTCAGGCTTCCCACCTCTGCTTCTTCTGGATTCAGCCCTGCATCCTGTTCCTGCAGGATGTAGCTCTGCCCTGCATTGAGCTGTGCATTGATCAGGCTGCATTTTGCTTTAACAGAGCAAGGATGAGCCGGGGAGGGGCTGGGGGGAAGGTCCTCAGCAGCACTGTCCTCTCAGCTAGGAATGCCAGCTCCCTGCTCCCCACTGCCTCCATGCATCCCTCTCTCCTGCCCCCTCTCCCAGCTGCGCCTTGCCTGCCTTGTACTGAGGCGGCTCAGCTGCTGCTTCCCTTACCCTAGTGTTCTCTAACCAGGCAAAAGGGTCTCCAAGCATGTAACTAGGATGATGTGGCTGAAGCCTGACTAGGAGTAGTGGGAGGCATGCAGTTACTTTTGTATAGAATCATATGGTCTTTACCTTCCTAAAAGGATTACATTTGCTATTAAAAGTTTATTGGGAGTGAAGCAGTAACACCTGACTTTCAATGGATTTGTGTGKTTTTTTTTATTTTTTTCCTTTCCCTCTGTTTTGCATTATTCATCTTACTATATGTTCTTCCTGCAATTTCCACTGACCTATAGAATAGTGACTGCTCTGGCAAGCATGAATTAACTCATCTCTCCAGCTCCTACTGCCAAAATAAGCATGTGGGTCATCTTTTTGTCAATTTCCTCAGTAAACGCCCCTGAGCTGCTGACTTTTCTTAAAAACTTTCTGGAATGTGAATTGGTTAGTGAGTTCAAAAGCTATTGCATGGCAAAAAWTTTTTGCAGTCATGATTAATTCTTATCCTAGTTTTCTTAAGAGCACAGACTAAAACCTCGTCAAAGAGTAGGTCTCTGTCCACGTTTATGACTATGCAGAACTTGAGCAGAAAGGTGAACTTAAGCCTTGGTCTAGGCAGTATCTCACTGCTTGTGCTATAGCTGTTTTTCTGAAAAAGAAAACTTCTCCTTTGTTTTATGGAAGTGCTCTTTAAAGAAATCTACACAAACTGTGCTATTACTTTGTTTTCTGATTAGGTGGATCTTAAGGACGGAATACCGTTCTTGTCTACTCCATTCTTCTTGGAATCTGTTATTAAGCATTTTTCACTAGTAGTATAATATTATGTTGTAATATATATTCTGGTTTGCTGAAAGAAGGAGGTACTCCAAGGCTGTAACATGATTCCTTGCTGAAGCAGCCAACTTGTGTGAATCAGTTTTCTTGTGTGTGTGTGCGCCTAACTGCAGCTGATAAGAACATGGTGATGAGCTGCTTTGGGACAGCATGTTACACGAGCTCACGTTGGAGCTCAGGCACACAAGGGTAGGTGAAACGCACTGCTCCCTTTTGGCCGTGTTTGGGAAGGAGGTGGTCGCCTTTCAGGCCATGCAGCCTCCCGCGTGCCTGGGAGCACCCAGGATAGCCAGTATGAACTTCCTGCATGTTCTTTGATGCAATCGGAAGTTGCTCCAGTTAAGAGCATTTAATAAGCAATTTGTCACAGGGATTCTTCAGGGAAGTGACTCTTTTGCCAGGCAGTCCTTGCACTGAGTTTTCTGCAGCCCATAAAGACAGGCTGAGGTCCTGCCAAGTTGAACCTTTCATTCAATCGTATCTTCACAAGTGCTACTGCTGACAGAGTAAGCTCACATAAGTTTTGAGCGCAGGCAGAAATAATCCATGTGTATATATATATATATACATGGATTTGTTATGTTTCCCACTTAGTAAACATGGATGCCCTTAATGTAGTTGCTTGCTGTCAACACCATCATACACTGTGCTGCCATGATGCTGAGTGGAGGTGATAAACAAGACAATATGTTATCTTTTGCATACTGAAATAGTTACAGATAATCATAAGTTAAAGATATTCATATTCAGTGGATTTTCATAGTCTAGATAGGCTCACTTTTAGCAACACAGCTTTTAATTCCGAAGTTTGCTTGGTTAAAATGATTTTGTAGCATAGTGAAAATATTTAGCTTCTCCATCCTCGAAAAAGGGAAAAAATCAAAAAAGCCAAGTTATTGAATATAAGAGACATATCATATACATGGACACCATCCTAGTTTCTAGGATGTGGGTCTGATTGAGCCTGTCTGAACAGATAACCTGCTCCTTTTTCTGAGGACTTCTGCATGGGCATTCCCACAGTCTGTCTGCCCTTCTGCTCAAGCCCTGAGGCCTTCCCAGCAGCAGCAGCCACCGCTCTCTGGAATTTGCTMTGTCAGATGATAAAACTGCTCCTGTCTGGCACTCACCTGCCRCGTCGCTCTGCTGGCATGAATTGGTCATCTGGCAATGTGGCCACTCTTTTTTTTTTTTAAGATGTGACTTCACACCTGTGTTTTTATCCCCTGATGAAGATGTACTTGAGTATGTGGTAGAATAGAAGCTGGGTTTTACCCAGCATTTTTAAGGAGTTGAGGATTTTGTTGTAGTTGAAATAGAACAGCACTTGCTTAAGGAAAGAGGTGGTGACTGTGCCAGGGAAAACAGCTGTGCTCTGCGTAGTCCTCGCGTTAGTAGGTTGTACTTAAACTCTATAATATGTGGCCTCAAAAACTTTAAGTCCTCATCGAGATTTCCTGTAATTCTCTAGGCAAAATAATTTCTCTCCATGCAGAAATAAAGCACGTTCGTAAAAGGTCATTTTGAACTAATCATTCCCTTTTTGTTTTCCACTTTGCTTGTGTTTGCTTGAGGAACTCAATGCTTTCGCTCCCTGAAGTGCCACACATTGGGCAGTAAAATTGCTATTGTATTTTTTTTTCCAGTGAAACAGCACTATCTGCTCTCTTCCTTTAATTTTCTTTTTAGAGGCAAACCACTTGAAGTTTTTTTTGTTTGGATGTTCTCAACTGTATATTCATTTTTTCGTCAAAATATATATGATAGCACAACAYTCCTGTTCACTTCAGCTGTTGATATTTTGTAGAAATGATAATACCTGTACTTTATTTTTGTTTTATTCCTGCAATTTATAACTGTTTTACCCCATATAAGTGAATTTTACCATGTAATGATCCCCAGAAAGGATCACAGCCCAGCCCTGCCAGATGTTGAAGAGGTATCTGAGAAGCAGTTACTTCCAAGAATTTTTCTGCAGAATTTTCATCTAATCCTTATAGCTGTGGAACGTTCCTCGCATGGTGTAGTAGTTAAAAGAAACAACTCGTGATTCTTATGTAACTAAAATAAAATTCAAGTGATCAATCCCAATCCTTATGTTTCCCTGAAATGTCGAGGATTACTTCTGAGACAGGAAAATAATTTTTGCTGCACAGGGTTTGTTAAGAACTACCAAAGTTGTTAGGAGGCTCTGTTTCATGTGCAAGTACCTGACCTTTACTAACGATGGGGGGGATGAGGTGTTTTCTGTAACAACTTCTGATACTCTACACAACCCAAATAATGACTGATATCTGGTAATAAAGAATGCTAAAGAATTTTCTGTTTTGTTTCTCTGTCAGATACCATGTCTGTGTGGAAGCGCCCCGTGCCTGCTCTGCCGCTGCTGCCCCAGTGGAAACAACTCCACCATAACCAGGCTGATTTATGCTGCCTTTCTACTCCTTGGAGTGAGCGTTGCCTGCGTGATGTTAGTACCAGGCATGGAAGAGCAGCTGAAAAAGGTTGGCTTCTGTTACTTCCAACATGCTTTTTTAAACAAATGTCACAGATCTCTTCTAAATGATAGCTTGAAAACACGGGTTTCAGCTGTGCTGCCACCTGTGCCTTAGAATCACCATTCAGTTTGATGCTTCGGCTGTATGTTTGTGCATGAACTTATGGTAATTTGTTAGTTACAGGAGAGCTTATAGGTTTCACTGAACTTCAGTTCCATATTCTGTGGAACTGTAACACTTATTTTGTTTTGTCTTGAATTTTTTCTAGCAGATAAGATGCTTTTGGTTTACCGATTTATCCTTTTTAGGAAGGCAGAGGTTTCTTCACTGTGGTATAGTAACCACATTAAAGCTTGAAATTAGAGCCATACTAGTCACCTGTATAAAGTTACTTTTGGGAAGGAAGGTTCTTTCCCTTTTAAAGAGATTTAAGCAGGCTGCCTTTGTTTAAGTTGGGAACTTGATAGCAGTTGTGAAGCTAAATGTACCTGCTTATTTTATTCAATATTTCCTTATTCAGGTCAAAGAGTGGAAACTGCGTTCCTTTGGAGAGTTATGAAATAGATTAAAAAAATCTTAGCAGAAAGGTTTGAAACCTACGGTTCCATAGGGGAGGGTTTCGTAGTGGGGTTTTTGTTGTTTTTTAAATGAGTTCAATATTCTGGATAGACCGTTCTTGTAATTATAGAGCTGCTCACTATCATGTTTTGCAGCAGTGCGTCGTGGTTGCATAAAGCTACAAAACGAATGTAGTTGTAAATTGCTGRTGTGTTTTTGCTGATGTGAGACCTTTTCTGGTTCACTGAAATGCCTTGTGTCGATGGCAGATTCCTGGGTTTTGTGATGGAGGGCTGGGCACCAGCATCCCCGGCGTGCACGGGCGCGTGAACTGCGACGTCTTGGTGGGTTACAAGGCCGTGTACCGCGTGTGCTTYGGCATGGCCATGTTCTTCCTTCTCTTCTCCCTGCTGATGATCAAAGTGAAGAGCAGCAATGACCCACGAGCAGCCGTGCACAACGGGTAAGACACAAAAATGAGGACTGAGATGGGGTGTGTGATGCAACTACTGAGAATATAAAATCTGTGGCTAAGCAGCTTTGATGCTCAACCACAACAAAAAATCCTAGTTGCTAGAAGCCTTGCTGCAGTAGAGGGCACTCAGAGCTATTTGTGTTCTTAGATGTGCCAGATTAGTTGTTAGAAAGAGGAAACGATCTGCAGAGCTGTCAGTTCCAGCTGCCAGGAGTCTCGGCTATGACAATGGCTAAATCCAGAGGCTTCCCAAGAAYAGAGGCTCTGCTTTTGTCCAAAGATGACAAAATTCAAAGGTGCATAACGGTATTAAGTTTCATTTCACAGTGATCTTTCTGCTTATAAAAGCCCCATCTGTCCGCTAGGAATTTTGTTTCTCTCGGCTTTCACGGTTGCAAGGGCTTGCTCTTAGTTGAGCAGTTCTGGTTTGAAAACGAACAAAGGGGTAGGATTATYATTCAGTTTATTTTCCCTATCTCCTTACCCTCTGCTGTCTTTGTTTTCTTCCTTTATATAAAGAAAACATGTACAAGTTCAGTTTCTGAGCTCTGCAAATTCTCCTTTTCTGGTCTGCTGTAGCTAAGGTTTTAAGTCTTAAGATCACAGTGGAATTTCAGCTTGTGGGTTGTCTCAAGGACAGGTTTTCTTTCAGGCTGAATTTATGTGCCAGGTAATCTCTTAAACCAGGGAAATGTAAACTGTTAAGATAGCACCTGCCAGAGAGTACCTAAAACCATTTGTGATGCTTAGACCTGGTGAGCACAGATTGCTCAGAYCAGTGCTCTTTTCAAGCTGATTAAGCTTAATGGGGAGCTATGACCAGCTGAGCCATAGAGAGGTCACCTGATTTTGTATTTGGTGTTATAAGAATATTAATCTCTAGCATAAAATAAGTAATAATTTCAAAATGCTTTCTGTAGATGAAGAGAAAATAAGTGTTAGAATCTGAGAATCCTTTTGGAGGCTGATCACTGTCATGTGTTTCAGTGGTTATTCTTAAAAAAGTAAATAAAAATAAATAAATTTGTTTGCTATTGCATCACTCCCAAACCAATTTTACCAGTACTGTATTCAGCATCTCCTTCTTTAGACCTAAGCACTGAGGAAAGAAAATATGTAACTAAGCAATATGCTGCTTGATTTTGGTTATTTTCTCTTCATCTACAGCAGTTGAAACTTAAAGCTCCTCTTTTTCCTTGTAGTGAAAGCTGAAGCAGCCCTATGTCGTGTAACATCTGTAAAACCATAGCTTTTAGTTTGGTAATTTGAATCTCCTGTAATATTGCACAATRTAATCTTTCTGTCAATGATGTGGAGAATTGGAATTTGTCCATAGATTCCTTTGAACCTGCCTTCAAGTTAAGGCTTGTAGATGTGGCCTGATGGCAGCGTGTGCAAGGCAACTTGCTTTTGTAGCAGCAGGTAGAAGCGTTTCCTGCGTTAGGCCGGGAGTCACTCGGTCGGTCGGTCCGTGTGCCCCGGGGATGGGCGCTCGCGCTGAGGGGGCAGCTGCTGGGGCTGCAGGTCTGAGCGCGCCCTGCAGATGTTCTGCAGGCTGGGTGGATGGAGCCTGAAGAGCCTTTGCAAAGGGCTGGGATTAGAGATAAAATATGGGCAAAGTGGRACCTGTGCTTATTCCTCTAACAGAGGATGAAACTGATACAAAATTTTCCCATGTATAGATTCGAAAGCTAGCTTTAGAAGGGCATGGATTATAGAATGGACTCTTCAGCTTTGCAGCTAGATTTGGGCACTCTTTGTGTATCCTGCTGTGATGCTTTCTTCCCGTATTCTCCATTTCACATAATCCTCTTCCACACAATTGAAGTTTATTCCTCTGGAGTGTAGTTGCCATCACGTGATGGTGTCCAAAGTATGTGAAAAGGTGGGACAGCAGCGAGCCAGGCAGCTGTTGGATGTTGCTGCTCCTGGCCTGGCGTGTGCCACGAGGCTCCCTCCGTGCTGTGTCTGCCTCAGGAGGTATTTGTGGTTGCTGCAGGGCCTGTGTTTGGGGCTGCCTGTCTGGTCACAAAAATCCTGCCTTCTGTCTTCAGGTTTTGTTGGGTGCTTTTCAGTTAGAAATCCCCTTTGTAGCCCATTTGAATACTGTCTCTGCTTGGCACGGGGAGAATCTTTGAAAAYATTTCCTTGTCATCTACCTAGGAAAACTTTCAACTTTATTCAAATCTTGCCTGGGCTTCTGTTGTTTTGTCACCTAAGTTATGAACTTCAGGGGTGGTGATGCAGTGTTTCCATTAAAAATATATAACTTTTTCCATAAATACAGGCTTCAAAGGAAAAAACTCCTTTCCCTGAAARTGCAATTAAAAAAATCACACCGTTAAACTCCACCCTAGTTTCWTGTGTTATTTGTCAGCAGGGCAGTTACGAAGGGTAAGTGCTATTCCCCGTGTTAGTCTACTACAGTTTGAGCATTGTTTACTAGCAAAATAGTAATAAAGCAGCCAAGATCTTTGTCTTATGTCAAAGAAGTAAGATTGAAAAAAATGGTAAATCTATAAGGTTGTGAGTGGCAAGGTTTTAAAGTTTCCTGCTCTGCATTCTGTGCACGAATGACGTTTGGTGAAGTACCGCAGCCTGTAACGGTTGCCCAACTTTCTTTCTTTCCTTAGATTCTGGTTCTTCAAATTTGCCACAGCCTTAGCAATTAGTGTTGGAGCCTTCTTCATCCCGGAGGGACCTTTTACTACTGGTAAGAGATTTGTCTGCTGTTGTGTCATAGTACAATCATAATTATTAAATGCAAGCTCATATCTTACATTTTTTTTAATGTGGCTGCRTAAGTGCAGCTTTTGACACTGTTTAAAGACAGACGTTGAGAGAGAGAGWAAGATACCCATGGTTCTGAACTGGTTTTGCTTTATTTCTCTTTTATAGTGTGGTTTTACGTAGGCATGGCTGGAGCCTTCTGCTTTATTCTTATTCAGCTGGTCTTGCTCATTGACTTTGCCCACTCTTGGAATGAATCTTGGGTGGAAAAAATGGAGGAAGGAAACTCAAGGTGCTGGTATGCAGGTAAAGGAAACGGTGTCACAACTAGTAGTTGTGTTTCATTGTGCCCTGAGTACACAAATTCCCRAGCGATGCATTTTACTGGGTTGCAAAAGAGGGATTTTGAGCAAAAGTTGTTTTTTCTAAGGTGGTCATTGAGCTCCGTTATCTTGCYGTCCTTTGGGTGGCAGGTGGGACAACATCTAAATAATAAGGCCAGATCCCAGGGAATAGGGCATCCATTTATGGTAGCAGAGAAATAGTAATTGTGACTTCTTGGTTCATTTATTTATTTATGGCTGCAGACTTTGTTATACGTAAGTGCTGATTACAGATAAACCTAACTTAATGTTGAGTGGAAACATCACAAGTARCTGATTTTTCTTTATGTTTGCTGATTGGTCGCTTCTCTAAGACATGCCGTGATTGAAAGGCCAAGATAGTGAAAAAGAGGGCAAATCACCCCACCAGAGAAATGAAATGTTATTTTAAATCATCATATTTGAAATGACTCGCCACTACAAAAACACAACCAAACTTCTTGTAGTGACCACTTCAGTTTAAAATAAGAAGGAATTTGGAAGTTAGATGGCTTTTCCCTCCTAGACACATTGTTTTTTATTGTTTTTTAAACTTTGCTTCAAAATATTGTTAATATAAATATATTTCTTCATATTTCTTCATATTCCTTGCCTGAGCCTCAGAGAATCAAACATTGCTTTAGGTTTCCCATGTGTTCTCTGAGCCCCGTAGATGTTCTTAAATGTGTAGTAAAATATATATATATATATAGTGTGCATATATATAATGCATATACTGTATGCATTTTTCTTTCTACTTCAGTGCTCATAACTGCTTTCTAATTCTCTTCCCAGCCCTGCTGTCAGCTACAGCTGCCAATTACCTGCTGTCTCTCGTGGCAGTTGTGCTGTTCTATGTTTATTACACTCACCCCGAAGGCTGCTCTGAAAACAAGGCGTTCATCAGTGTCAATATGCTGCTCTGCATTGGTGCCTCTGTAATGTCCATCCTGCCAAGGATTCAGGTATCGTTGTAGTTCTTTTTCTTTCTATCCTTTTTATTTTCAAACAAAAAATGCATCCTGTGGTCATACCTGAAACTCTCTATTAATAGTTTGATTTTTTTTTTGTCATCTGCATTTTTAAAGGAATCTCAGCCAAGATCTGGTTTGCTGCAGTCTTCTGTGATCACAATTTATACAATGTATTTGACTTGGTCAGCTATGACCAATGAACCAGGTAAGTGCAGCAGCAATATGTGCTTTTTTGTATAAAAAAAAACCCCAAAAAGTAATAAATCTTACCTTTATGCAAGGCGATAATAGAATGAACTACTAGGAAATGTTGCGTGTAGAAGTCAAATCTACCCTCTGTCCCACCCAAAACCTCTTAGTAATAACGCTGAAGAGGATGGAGTTCCTTCGGAGGGAACTTCCCAACTCTTCTCATGTAACGTGTGGAAGATTTTTACAAATCACTGGTAGAGCTGTGTGATTTTAAACTTGCAGAGTTTATGGATCTCTGGAACTCTCCCCAGGTGTTGTYATCTCCCTGCCGAGTTTCTAACCCTGCTGACTGAGGTGCAGCTGATAGTTTTCCTAATTAATGATCTTTCTGAAAATATGTTGATAAAACCTTTAATGATTCTTGTGTCTGAAAACAACTGGACTCTTTAGAGAAAAYATTGAGAAATTCCAGTGCTTAAAACAAATTGCCAAATATTGATGTCACTGTTTTTACCATCTAGAATGRAAACAGCCCTTTTGGTCCTAATTATGGACCATCTTCTGTGTTTCTGTTTAACAGCATAGATGTGAGTTTTATTTAATTACTGCAGTATTTATGGGCCAGTAACATTATGTGACTTTGAGCTGTTCYATCTGTGTTATCAGTGGATCAGATACTGTGGATTGGGGAGTGTTAACTGACTTAGTACCAGTTTCTAACTCTTGAGGTTTTGTCAAACTTGCTTTCTAGCTGTAGAATTTCTTATGTGAAAACTTAGTACAGAGGGTGCTTTTTTTTTTTTTTTTGTGGCATCTAATTTTGGGGTGGAAGAGTATAGAGCGTTTGATGCAGAATTTAATACAGAATTTAAAAATACTCTTCCTTTATCTGTTCAGAGAGACAGATGTCTGCAGAGATAGGCTAAAGATACATAGGCTAAAGCTAGGGTTTGTAGAGTCTTTTTACACCCCAGAATTGCCACGACCTCAAAATTGAGTTCAGTGTGGTGACACGGAGTGACCTGCTATGAGAGAGGTGCTCGTTCTGCCCTGGCTCTGCTTAACCTCTGCTGGCCCCTCTGCGACAGATCGGCGCTGCAACCCCAGCCTGCTGAGCATCATCGGCTACAACAGCACCGCGCCGCCCGCCCCGGGCCACGTGGTTCACTGGTGGGATGCCCAAGGAATTGTGGGGCTCATCCTGTTCCTCTTGTGCGTGCTCTATTCAAGGTCAGTGTTTTTCTATGGATCTTTCCCATATAAAATGCGTTACCTTGGATGACCCCTTTTCTTCTTGGCCGTGACTTGCTCTGCTGAGTTGTGCTGTGTCCTTCCCCGCCGCGCGCAGCATCCGCACGTCCAACAACAGCCAGGTCAACAAGCTGATGCTGACGAGCGACGAGTCCACCCTGATAGAGGACGGCGCCGCGCGCAGCGACGGCTCCCTCGACGGCGACGACGACGTGCACCGGGCCGTCGACAACGAGAGGGACGGAGTTACCTACAACTACTCCTTCTTCCACTTCATGCTCTTCCTGGCCTCGCTCTACATCATGATGACCCTCACCAACTGGTACAGGTAAGGGGGCAGGGAGTGCGGGTGCAGCCTCCTCCTGGAGGAGGAGGCACGAGGTGACTGGGAGGGTGGGTAGCACAGGAGTGGGGCTTCCCAAAGCAGGAGCTTGTCCTGCTTGCTCTGTGCCGACGAGCTGCAGCGGAAGGTTGGGCAGCCTTGTTTGCAGGGCTCTTGTCTGCTGYCTTGGACGACTGTCACGGTTCCCTGGTGAACCTGCTGAAATGCCTCCTGGTGAGGTGAGCAGAGTAGAGGAACTTTTGAACAGGAATTCACTGAGTGTAGTAAACACTGGGCCTGTGTCTGGTGCTGAGAAGAGGAAAGAGGAGAGTAGAAAACGGGCACTTGCCACGTGTGGTCAGGAGACTGCCCCCACAACGTGCTCACAGTAAAATGGCCGCCTGTGGGGGTGTTTCTGCAGGCCTCTAACTGGGAGCTCGTGGCTCAGTTCTGTTAACCTGCTCTTAACAGCTTGAGCTGAGATTCTCCAGGATTAGAAAGGTTGAAAGTCTCTTAATATAGTAAATGTTGTACTGAAATAGCAAAACTRGAAAGATATTTAATTAACATAGTCCTGCTGTGGAGTTGTTTTGTGGCTTTGTTTGGGGTCAATATGATATCAATTTTATACATTTTTCTAGGGGGAATCTTCTGACAAGGCAGTTTGTTTTTTAACATGCTGTCCAGGGTCTTTCCACATCTGTGGAAAATCAGGTGTGTCTTYCCACATCTGTGGGAAGGGATGTGCWCAGAGTCCTTGCGGTTACTTAACTGTAACCCAGATGAGCCTGTCTGATATAACTGCACATATAGCAACATTGCAACTGCAGCTGGTTCAGTTATAAACCTGGCCCAAATGTGTGGGGAGGGGAGTGCAAACTCCTTGTTTGCTCTCATGTTGTCTGTTTTTATCCAAGCAAAAGCTGCTGGCGCGGCTTGTCACCCCTCTAGCCCAGTTCTGAGCACCTGTCCTCTGGTCTAGAGCTGGTTCTGGACTCCTGTTGCCGCTCGGGGAGCACAGGGGGGCTCTCCGGCCTTGCTGGGCGCAGGAGCAGTGGGTTGGGAGGGCAGTTGCTGCCAGTGAAGCTTTCGTGCAGATGGGTCTGAAGGCGCTGGGCAGGGACGTTGGGTTGGGATGCCCAGTGCAAGTCAACGTGCTGGGAGAGGGGAGCGTTGGAGAGAGGCTCGCCGCACTGGCCTCTAGTCCTGCTCTAGWCGCTTGCTGCACCAGCCTGTCCTGCAGCAGAAATCGCGAGCGATCTCTCTGCTTTTGCTCCTCTCGCAGTCCTGATTCTTCCTACGAGACCATGACGAGCAAGTGGCCGTCGGTGTGGGTGAAGATCTCCTCSAGCTGGATCGGCCTCGTGCTCTACGTGTGGACTCTGGTGGCCCCGCTGGTTCTCACCAACCGCGACTTCGACTAGGCTGCGCTGCTGCCCGCCGCGGCCGCCCTGCGTCCGAATGAACAGTGTTCAGACTATCGTGTTGGTGTAAATACGTGCGTGTGTGTGTGCTGTTCACGTAGCACCCCTGCATTGCTCTGCATGGTTACCTCCAATCACGTGTTTCTCTGCATTGCCCTAAACGACTTCCTGCTGAGCTCAGTGACACTTGCTGTGCTGCTGGCTTGTGTAGATTTCCTCCTAGATTCTGCCCTTCAGGAGCGCCGGACACAAGCTCAAGACTTGGGAATGAGCTTCCCTTCCCCACTCCCGGTGGTATTAGTACTAAAATGAGGCCACCCCACTCACTGCGAGGGTTAATCAGGGAATGCAACAAAGTGCTGCCAGCCAAGGAGGAGCAGCCCTTGGTGCTCCCCCTTGGTAATCCCTGGTCTCGGAGCGGTGGATGGGCAGGGCTCAGGCTCCTGCTCAGCTGCCCATGCTGCCGAGCTCAGGGCTGCTCTGGCAGCTGGAAACACGACCCCTCTGCGTGTCGTGGGCAGCCCAGCCCTCGCTGCAGCTGCTGAGTGGGGAAGGGGCCCGGGAAGGCGCAGGGAAGCCCATGTCCTGCCYGCAGCTGTGGGGCCTGCGCTGCCCTCACACACAGGACGCCCTGGCAAGGCAGTGGCTCCCAGTGTTGTGGTCAGACGCGTGTCTTGAAGGCAYCTGTTTACAAATGAACCTATGCCCTTCTTTTCTTAGTAACTTAGGTAGGAGAACTCTGCTGTAATTTATTGCTGCTTGCTGTGCCATTTTTTTTCCTTGGTTAACTTAAACTCATAAAGGTTGGGAGGAGGCGGGTGGTGAAACCTGCAGGCCCTTCAGAGGGAGCTTTGGGGTATTATGTTTAAAAAACAAACCACAGAGGAAGAGAAGCACCCAGACCGCAGCAAATAAAGGAGGCTGCGTTATTTAAGACATTAACAAGAGTGTTTCTTACTGTAGTTGAGGGCTCTAACACTTGCTGTGTTCTAATGTATTAGATAGTTTGCCCATGGTCCCTGGCACGTCCATTGTCAGAGACTGACTTGGGCCTAGGAAGTCTACTTCTAGGCATGAAATACACTAGATCTTTTTTTTTTGTTTTTTAAGCAACAAAGACTGTAGAATTTTGTGTAATTATAAAATCTTCAGTGCTTTTGTGCTCGCTGCTTCATAACTGAAGTACCTAACGCTGCATTATTTATATATTTCTGTTACTTGTTCTATCTCGAGACTTTAGCAGTCTGATTGGGAGTGACCCGAGAGCCTTTAGCAGTTGTCGTTGTCATTATCATTATATTACTGTGGTGTTTATACTGTTACTTCATGTTACTGCTCCTATAAGCTTTTATTTGAAATATGCTTCTAAACACATTTACTGAAGAAATTTGCCATGTCAGCCCAACTCAGAATGATGAGTAGTGAAGATGTTTAGTGATTTCAAACAATAAATAAATTTGGATGAAGATGTCTTTAACGCTCTTGATCTCTGATACCATTACCCAACAAGGGATGTATCTATTTCTGTATTGTAATTTAATGCTTTCAGGGACATTTAGGGCCCCTCTSTTTTCAGCTGAGAAATAAGAGCTGACACCCCTGTAAACTTTCTTTGGGGGAAAAAGAGAAAAAAAACAGAAAGGTTTCCCTAGGCCCAGGTGAGATGCCTTTACTTCTATAAAGGTTTGAGGCACCTCTTCTCCCTGTGGCTCTTGCRGAGCCTGCAGCTGCAATCTGGTTTTTGCCAGTTCAGTTAGTGCACCTGMATAGCAATGCTGATAGTGGCATCCAAGTTCTGTAATAGGTAACTGCTCTCTCAGCGAATTACAAACATGAACAACTCTCCCTAGCTCATTCTGTGCCTAACGTTATTCCTTTACAAGAGAGCAGGTTGAATAGTACTGTTAAATGCAGTTGGAGGCTCCAGGTTCCCAGCCTGGAGCTTCTGCAGCACCTACAGCTGCGAGGTTGAGGGCAGAGGGGAAACAATTTCTGTCTCCAGTGAGCTTGTTGCTGCCTTATTTATACTAATTCAGGAACTGTGAGAAATAAGTGGTTATGAGGGCAGCTTCACCTGCTTGCAGCTCTTGTAGAGTAAGAGCCAAGGAAATTCTGTGCTTGAGTGTAGGTTTAAACTTGCACTGAAATCAAGGCATTATGAAATACGAAAATATGAAATAACACATAGCAGTGTTTTGTGCAGAGTTTTCTACCTTTTCCCCTCACCTTTTCTCTAGTGTGGCAGACTTTATGAAGATGAGGGTTGGGTTTTGGTAATGGCAGCAGGTTTGATGCTCTGTAACTGCTCTGTAAAAGCTACAGTCTGGKAGCAAGGGACCGAGTTTTCAGGTCATAAGCAGAGCAGAAGATCCCTCTACCACTGAGGCTGGCAAAGGAGAGGCCTTTCCTTTTGTGTCTACCCCATACCCAACACAGGAGCCGTCACACTTGGGTAACCTTTATTTCCTGCGAGCAGGTGGTGCAAGGGGGCAGCACAAGGGTGCGGGGTTCGCACTGCTGTGGACACTCCGGTGGCAGCGCTGGGTGCCCCAAGGCACAGGCACTTTGGCCCCAGTGCCAGCAGGGAAGGAAAAAGCCTCCCTCAGGTCCTGCTCCCCTCCCAGCCCCTAAAGCCTCCTCTTTATTAAACAAAACGTTGTAAAAAATAGAAAAAAAAAAGATCCAGGAAGTCGGTGCTCCCTAGCCATACACTACTACTTTACTTCATCGTACATAAGACCAGAAGAAGGCAGAAATCAACGGTTACTGTGAACAAAACGGGTGGTCAGTTAGCTGGGCTGTGGAGCGAGATGTGTAACGCCGAGTACGTGACAGCAGCTAAGGCTGGTAACAGTCTGACCTGGTCTTGCCAACCATGTCTAAGAGCTTGTCTAACTAGACAGTTAAACAACAGCTTACAGCAAGGAAGATAGGAAAAGGTGTTTCAGCTTCCACATTATCTGGTTACATAAAACAGAGTGATTTACAAAAAAACCTCATATACCAAACAATAGTCTAAATAAATAGTTCCTCTTCGTGGCTATGTACAGCGTCGCCCCGCGCTAGTTGTCCAGGAAGGGCATGTCCGTGTCCATGGGCGCCGGGGCCAGTTCGCATAGATAGAAGAGTGTGGCCTCGCTCGCCTCGGCCTCCGTGAGCGGCTCCAGCCGCACCAGTTTGCTCTGCGTCGGCTCCGGCTCCAGGCTGCTCTCCAGGAGCTCGTCCCCCTCCAGGCCCTTGTCCGCGGCGAGGGCGCTGTCCGCGGCGCTGCCGCCCTCGCCCGTGGGGCCGGCGCTGCTGTCGAGGAAGGCGAGGAGCGGGAAGGCCGTGTACTGGATGAGCTGCTTATCTGCGGGGGGAAACACGGAGCAAGCAGCCTGAGCTCACTCAGTTCACACACAACTTAAGTGCAACAGAAAAATCATTTAAGAAGAACTATCTCACTTACACATAAAAACATTTGGACTCTTTTGCAAAATTATCCATTTTCTCTGCATCTGGTGCAACACCAAGACTCTTTAAAGCAAGCCTAATGCTACGTAGGTTGCTTTGGTCATTTGCTCGTCACTGTGAAACACACACAGATGACGGGCAAATAGCTGAGGTGATGGATTGGTTTAGGCAGTGTTTGATGAGCACTTGAACAAAGTATTTTTATTACAACTAACCTGATTTGGGCTTAGAAACTTGTGACTCCTGTGAAGCAGCTGGCCCCGCACTATTCTTAGCAGTTTCAATTCCCTTTGGCTCCACCTGGAAAAGAAAACAGCATCTAAATACATTCTTAAAATTCATTTCCATAGGTAGCGACTACAATGCCAACAGACCATAGACAACCAACTATTAAAAGATACTAGCACTAACAACGAGCACTACATTTATTCTTTGGTTTTACTAGGGAGGCACTGGCATCAGTTATCCACACTATTAGACCCTGATAAGAAAATGCAAAATGGAAACAAAGTTTTTAGACAAAAACCCAAGACTACTAAAGCTCCTGACAGACCAGGYGGATGCCCCGAGTTAGACATCAGGTTTCTTTCCCACCAGACACAGCTCAAAACACTCAGCATACACTATACCCTGTTTGCAAGTAACAAAATCTTAGCAGATGCCTAAGTCAGGCGCTGGGCAGTACTGTGCACATGCTATTGCCTTCAAGGTAATTTAATGCACTTCTTTAAGTGACCCCATTTGTCCCCAAGCGGTAAGCTTTGCCCCCTTTCTGTGTAACAGAACAAATACAGCTGCAGCCGCCTTATTCTCATGGACTAGAACAGCAGGAAAGAAAATACGTAAAGGACAAAAACCCCTCTGCATGTCTCACTGCCATGCAAACTGAGCAATGGAACCAAGACTTACTTTAGCATTAGCGATATGATCTGTGGGATTCATCTGCACGGAGCTTGTAAAAAGCTGAATAAGACAAAACATACAGAGTTTTAGGGATCTCAGTGGTCTTGCATTAAGAACACAAGCCAGTCCCACCCGCCTCTGTGTTTGAGGGCACTGCCCGTACTCTACTTTCGCCCTCAAGCAGGATCAGGGTTCATTTACAAAAGGCAGTCATCTCTTTTGCCAGGGGAAGGCAGCCCGGGCTGGGAGCCTSTTCGGAATCACGTAACCTCTGTGAYAAAGAGCCCCCCGTGATGCCTCTGCTCTGCTCTCTGCAGCAGGGATTCATTTCACTGCACAGAGACTCGGGGGCCCCGCAGGGCTAGACGACATCCAAGCAGGGGGAGCAGCACTGCTGTGCTGCAGGGAACGGGTACAATAATTAACTAACTGTTAATTACAGATTTGCTGCTGTGAGCACGTGGCCTCCAGGCGAGCAGAGCAGTTAGTTCCCTCCACACCTGAGGCCACCTCTGGAGCAGTGCCCCGTTTTAGGCCCTCTCTCAAACTGCAGAGAGCTCAGAGGGCCACAGATGGGTAAGGGGCTGGGGCCCAGGGCACACAGGGGCTCCTGCCCCACGCTCCCGAGCTTCAGTCACAGCATGGGGCTGGCCCTGCTTTGACAGGGGGTTGACGCTGCTGACCTGCACAGGTCCCTTTGAACAGAGTTTATTCTTCTACGCTACATCAATCTGGAAAAGCAGCTGGGAATATACACATATTCCTAAAAAATAAYCTGAAATGGCCATCGGCTTCTAAAACAACTATCAGGGGTCTCTTCCACCCCAGTTCATTGAGAGGACTGGGGTCTTCTCAGTAATGGACTTGAATATTAGTCTGYTGCTGTGCAAGCTCCTGCAGCCACAGGGCTGCGCGTGTGCCAGTGCGAAGCTGACTGGGCAATGGCTCTGACACGAGCGCAGCGGCCGCGGGAGCCACTCGAGCAGCGAGGCAGCGCTGAGCCCAGCGCCACAGGACAGAGCTCACCCCATACACACGCGTCACTTCTTATATACGTAGGTGTAACCTCTCAGAGAAATGTCTGTGTGTTTAAAATGCATTTTAGGCAGTAATAAGCCCCCAACAAATGCTTAGACCATTAYGACAACACAAGAAAGATATAAAGGGAGAAAATTACATCCACCAGAAGATCGGGATCTATGCTGAACTGCCGGCCTGATAACATGGCCTGGAAGTCCTCTAGACTGCAGTCAATACTGTCGAGATAATCCAGGAGCTCAACTCTGCAAAACAAACCATGATGTTACTCCATCTCTTGAGAAAAAGAAGAAAAATTCACAATGAAGTCTTATTACGATGTATTATGTGCACCTAAAATCTTCACTGATACTGCAATAATCATCTCTCATTAAAAATATTTTCAGAAAAAAAATGAGACTTCCTAGCCTGGCTCTTCGGGCTGCACCCTSTGCTTCAGGTGTCCCTGCTGCAGCAGCGGGGCTCGAGTAGCTCAGCTCTAGAGGTCCCTTCCAACCTGAACCATTCTGTGATCGGAGCAGAGGCGATGCAGAGCGGACAGACAATCCTGGGAGGAGATGGCCCTGCCGGGAGGGGATGGGAGCCTGGGGCAGGTGCAGCCAGCTCCCACGTGCCGGCGCCGGCGGGAACCTCGCGGATCAGCCCTGGCAGGACCGTCAGCTCACGCAGGGACGACGCGCCGCTGTTAGGCCCGAGGCCCCGGCTCTTGCCCTCCACCATGGGCAGTGCCACCAGCCAAGGGAAAGGAAGTACGAAGTTCATACATAGAGATACAGAAGCCACCAAGTGTGGGCAGCGACAAGGGTCCGAGGCACCCGAGAAAAGGGCCTCCCCTCGGAGCTGCTGAGCATCAACTGCCAAGTCACCCTCCAATCCCCCCTCCCGAAACCTCCGTCCAGCCATGTGGGAGCAGGTGGTACAAGTGCAACGGCTTTTTAAATGGTGACTTTGTGTTTAGATTTTAAGAGTAATAA